ATTTAATCAGTATTGATCGTTGGAAAGAATCATTCAACATGAGGACTATTTTTTTTTGAATAAAACTCCAATTTGTAAACCGGAAACTATGTTACAAATCTCCTACACATGTAATGTAGATCAATACAACGGTAACTTAACAATAACTGGAGTTGAAGAGATGCTCGGTATTGTCTTCTTCCAATTCGGCATTTCTCTTGACTCGCTCCATATAGAAGATATCTTCTTGCAATTATTGTGAGTAATCTATTATATGATAAAGAAAGAATTTTAACTAGAGGCAGCAGTGAAGAAACCAAATTTTGTTTGCGTTTAGTAGAAATCTTTATCAAAACTTATCGACTCTTCTGTGAAAATATGGATAAATGCGAAAAGAATTTGAAAGGCATCTTGTTGCTCTTCATGTAAAGATCGAAATCTTTTCATGTGCGAATGATTTTTATTATTCCTTTCATATATTAGAGGCACTGTTCTTCGTGATTTTTTAAACAATCGTCAGATATCTGGTCCAACTGGAATATCTAATGACCGTCTATGTTAAACAAGACAAAAAAAGAATGATTGCCGTCCGCGGCTATCATTGCTATCCTTATAAATACGTACTTGTTGCAAATGAATTTATATTTTTTTTTTCGTTTTCATTCCAATATCAATCGAACTCTTGTTTATCTTAGGCAAAATTCTTTTCAATCATTGGCAAAATAGCAAGCCAAATGTTTTTCTTGACATGATCCAAAAGAGAATAACAATTTGGAAAGTAAGTGTGTGAGTGAAAAACAAGAAATGACAGATTCTATCATTATATATTTTCATTTAGACTAAACTACGATTACGATACAAATTCAAACATGCGACACATTTTAATGATTTACCCAACGAAATTTTTCTCATGATATGTCATTATTTAACTCCGATACAAGTACTCAAAGCATTTTACGATTATGACAATCGTACATTTTCGTGCACATCTAATTATCGACAAAACATCGATTTGACCAAATGTTCCTATTCAGATCTTCAATATTTTCTTCCATTATTCATCGAAGGATATTTTCGACCTACAACATTGACTATTAGTAATAATCGATTGCCAACACAGATCAAAATCTTTTACAATGCGTGCAACTTACCATTGAACTTTCATTCCACTGATGTTCACCATTTATCATTAATTGAATGTGGAAATGACGACTTTCGGACTATTAAGTCATGCGTAAAAATGTTTAAATCATTGCAATCTTTACGTATTGTTGAATCGACATCAAATGAGAGTAACAGATATTTGAAGGATGACATCATCGAAACACTTCGCAATTTTATGCTCAATAAATTCGTCGAACTTGAATTGAGTACCAATGAAGGTATCGTACTTGACAAACGTATGTATTCAAATGAATATCTCAAAAAATTGACAATTTCACTACAAAAATTCAATGATCTTTTTGTTCTATTCGATGGACTTGTGCCAAATTTGATCATACTTAATGTTACTATCTGTCAATCTGATCCATGTAAACAATCACCAATACCACCACAATGTTGGCCACGTGAATTAATGTCACATTTAGTTGAATTTCGATTAAGAACCAATGAGAATGTGATAATGACTTTGAACTATTTTCGTGCTATTGTTATGCCTCTTATTCAACTCCAAAACTTCATGATTGACTTAAGAAAATGGTTTAGTCACGATCAACAATTCGTACAAGGAAATCAAATTGAAATGTTAATCAATAAATTTATGCCTCAACTTCGTCATTTTCACTGTTCTATTCAGACAATGGATGATATCGATATGCAGGTAAAAATTGTTCTATACATATATCAATGGCATCAACAGAATTTTTTCAGAGTTTTACAATGTTAAGCAAACGCTGGTTGATGGCATGTAGATCGACATGTAACTATTTCTATAACCATTTGTACACGATCCCTTGGTCATTCGAACAACTTCATTTATCAATGTTGGCTGAAGATGATACTGAAAGTATCTGCCCGAATGTTCAATATCTAACTGTCGATATGACCTGCATAAACCTATCGTGCCGTTTTCCTAATGTTCACACGCTCATCGTTCTGCCTCAAAGCAATCTTACTCGTGATGATTTTTTAGGATTTCGTCATCTTCGACATTTGATAGCGGACAATATAGAAATGGTTCCATCACCTCTAACATGACATATTTATACGCTGACATTGTCTAAGAATTTTGAGTTGTTGAACAACCCGATCATTTATCCTAATGTACGACATTTAATTTTGGAAAATGATCAAATCAATTCATTGGTAATTATTACCGCTCTTGTACAATATTTTCCCAATCTGTATTCGACAGGGCTGGGCGAGTCCGAGTCATGACTCGGACTCGAGTCGACTCGAGTCACTTTTTTTTACTGACTCGGACTTGACTCGGACTCGGAAATTTCGAAACGATGACTCGACTCGAATAGTC